AACACGCTTTTATTTAGTTTTGATTCAAGCAAACAAGGTCAGGTACATTACATGACCGCAGTATTATACAGTCCTATAATGTACTCAGTATGAAATAGCCGAAAGATAATATTCAGAGACTTTTGGCGGGGTCTGTAGTTTTAAATGGTTATTTATTTATAATAAATTTAATATGATGTGATATACAAATAAACTACAATATAAAATTTCAATATTAATAATAAACATCAATGTGAATATAGATCGTTCTTTAGACAGCATTTTACCTATATATGTAACAACTGGCTTCAATATTAACAAATAAATATTCATAGGCATTTTCTGATTGTATTCAAATTATGGTAGAATACTGGTTGCTGCTTATTTTAACATATTAGGATTCTGAATTGGCAAATATATTCCATCCAGTAAGATTGCTGGTTGAACAGCATTTAACCTGCGTAATAAATAGGCATTTTCTGATTATATTCAAATTATAGTGAAATACCGGTTGCTACTTATTTTAACATATTAGGATTCTGAATTGGCAAATATACTCCAACTGGAAAGATTGCTTGTTAAGCAATGTTTAACCTGTGTTAGGTATGATAATACCATTATACCTTAAGAATGATAAATCATCATACTTAAGGTATGATAAATGCATTATTCCTTAAAATTGATAAAACCATTGTATCTTAGATACGATAATACTATCATTTCTAAGAAACTATAATACGCTATCATTACAATCAGATGTCAATTAGTTATAAATAATATAGGTCAAATTTTGATATATACTAATTGACTATAAGTATGCCAATTAGCTATAAATAAGATAAGTCAAATTTTGGCTAATTCTTGGCTGATTTCTGATGTATGCCAATTGGCTAGGCTGATTTTTGATAATTTGCCAAATTTAGGCTGAATTTAGGCTGAATTTAGGCTGATTTTGCATGTCTGATTTTTTTGATTTTGACAAGTGTAAAGAAAGAGAAAAATGATAAATACAATATAAAGATAAATTAGAAATGATAAATAAAATGCACAAAGAATAAAAGAAAGAGAAAGATAAAGAAAAGAATAATAAAAAGGAAAACCCTGCTGAACTGAAAATGGACGATTTGAAAGATAATATAATCATACAATAAAACTTTGAAGAAAAATTAAAAAATAAAGAATTTAGCAACTCTGGAATAACTTAACTTTATGGAAACCAGATTCTTGAATAAATAAAGTGAATTTGTAAAACAAATCCTCTTAAAGACAAGTGGCAGAAGTGGTTCAAAAAGGTATAGCTCTTGTTGAAGCTATTGAACTCATAAACAATCATACATTTGTAAATCACAGGTTTTGACACATAACATTATTTCAGATTACTAATTGTTTTGTCTTTTTGAATTAATTAATTAAATTAGTGATCATTGCATGTTATTTACCTTTAAAAAGTTAGGTTTAAATATATATATTTTTTTGATTTAATAAAAAGGTGTTGATTAGCTATACTTTATAAATCTTTTTTTACAATATATAATAATTTATATTATACAAACTGATTTTATTTTTTAAGGTTAGACTAGAAACATATAATTTTTTTTTTGTAAAAAAAATACAGATTTTGTTTTTTTGATAATATAAAGAACCTCTATTTCATTAAAACATTACGGCATAACAGTATGCAGAAACATATAATGAAATACTATAATAGTATAAGAATTTTAAAAATCCTTCCTTTATTAGATATTACAAGGCAATTATGAATACAAATCTTCTTTCAAGTCAATTCACTTACCTTTTTATAATAGTCAATATTGTTTTTTTTATCAACCAAAATGTATATTTCGTTAATAAATATTATTTAATATCGTATTGCTAATTGTTTTTAGTTTTATTATTTTCTATAATAACGATAATATTTTATTTACAATTGTTAATTATTTTTTAATTATTCCAAATTTTACCACATATTATTTAATTTTTCCCAAATTGATTTCACAATTTTTTTAACAAAGAATTAAAATTAAATTCTATATAGGTGGGGTTACAATATGTTAAGTTTCGAAAGAATAACAGATTTGTTTTTGACCGATTTCCTTTTTAGGATGACGATCCCCCAATATTTCAAATTAGTATTAGTGTAATTTTTGATATTCTTTAAGCCTTGTGAATGCTCTTTTAACCTTGATCTTTTTTTTTAAAAAAATTTTTTTTTGTATCAGCATATTTTGTTGCTTGCATATATCGTATTGAAATCAAATCTTTTTTTTTTTTTGCAAATATTGCGCAAAATTAACTAACTTAACATCTTATTTTTTTAACTACCAAATCTTTTACATAATAATTCAAAACTTTTCGCTGTAAGAAAAATACTTCCAGAAATAACTTAAATTCAGTCTCGATTGGAATACTGCCAGTTGTCACAAATGATAGGTTTTTAATAAGATTTTATTATTCCCTTCTAAACTTAAAGAATAGATAAACTTAATTCACTGTTAGGACGACATAAAAAATTTTTAGATTCTCGTTACATGTATTTAATCGATTCAAAAAAGTGGAATCGATTTTGAAATCGATTAATCGCGATTAATCGTTTCTCGAGATAGTTTCTAAGATTCAACTTCGGTTTCGTTGATTCTAATCGATTTTATTTAAATTGAAAATCCCAAAACTTATATTTTTTGTTTACCAAAAAAAAAATCATTTGCCAAGTTTTTTTTTTGATTTTTTGATTTTTTTTTTAGCTTTTGATTCCAACACTTCGGGGCGCAGCGAATTAATAAAATCTTGTCCCCTTTCTTTTCATTTGATATAATGTCAAGCGATCGTATATTTTATATTTTCTCTAGGTTTTTCAGTTGGAAGAATTAGGTAAGTACCCTTATTGAAAATACTTAACCATCTTTTAGAAAAAAGGTTTTCTTACCATTTAGAATGAGCATTGAAACATTAAATTTCCTTATTTTTATTTTTTTACTTTTTTTGATTTTGAGTATATTCAGCTCTATATATTAACTACATCTCTTGGCGTTATTATCACAGTTTCATTATAATAAAATTTTGAAAAATTTCTTAAATTACGATTTACTTAAATTAGGTTGTACAAACAAATTCTTTAAACGCACTTTTAAGAGATTTTTAGTAAAAACTTAAAAAATAAAATTTAAACCTTAATTTATTTTATCAGGTTAATAATCAAGTTCGGTGCTTGCAATTAAATACATAACGCTCGTTCATCATGAATCATTTGATTTGACTTTTTTCGTCTTTTTTTTTTGGTCACTAATTTTATGGTGATGTTTATGGATGGACAAACGAATCTGATTTGCGGTAATGATATAAATATTATTTACGTATTAGCAGGCAACTCAATCAAAAACTACCTGATGCATTGAGTGCAGAATATTCCGTACAATCTTAGTGCTAGTGATGGATCAGGTTAATTAATGATTACGTACAATTAAAATTGTTTGTAATAAATTTTAGTTAAGTTTTTTTTTTTATTAAAAAAGAAATAAAAGTTATAATTAAATGGTTCTATTGTTTAATAAATATTTAAATCCCTATAAATGTGCTTAAACCGCTTACATTTATGATTAAGTTACTATTTCCAAGAGTTAATTAATAGCACTGCACTGTAATAATTCTAATAAGTTAATTATCTCTCACAACTAGAGGTTGGAACCGGCCTTAAAATCTTTAACCTGATAATAACCGGTTAAAATATTCGTTAACCGGTTCCAACCTCTTCTCACAACAAATGGTTTTATCTTATTCTATGACAATTTATAATTAAATTATTTCACAACTCGTAAGTTCTTGAAATATCCTTTGGATCAACCTCAATTTAAAAATTTAGAAAATTAATAAAGGAATTATGTTGTAACTAAAAATTTAGATAACTTTTTAATTATTTAAAAGTTATGAATAATATCAAAGTTCATTTAATCTTTGGTTTAAAGTTTTAAATATAAAACTGTTGTTAGTAATGTTGTTTTATTGCCAAACATTCTAGTAATTCTAGTATTACGTGTAAGCCAAGGCATGATAAATCTATTTTAAAGGAATCGCATTATGATATAGAAAAACTATAATGTCTTATAATTATTTTTCGTAATAGGACTTTATTAATAAAGAACGTTGTTCAACTGCCAATTCGAAGAAAGACTCGTCCTTGATTGATTGAAGAGTCTCGTTTACGTGGATTACTGATCTTGTTATTTATGAAGGGTTAGTGCGGCTTGGATTAAGAAATTGGTGCATTACGATAAACGAAGATCGTAAATGTTCAAAAGTTTCATTATGGACAAATTAAAAAGCATACGGGTTTAAGTAAAAACTAGCTTTTATAGGAATTTGTAATTTTGTGAAACGCATAGGAAGATGTCTAAATCAATACTGGCAGCAAAAATTATGTATAAAAAAATATTTTTTTAATTATTTTTATTGTTTAATTAGCTTAAGCTTAATTTTATTTATAACCTTTAAATATATTTTTACAAGAGATTATTTTATCGTCCCCAAAAAATTGACGGCACATGCATTTAATATTTTAAATAAATGAAACGTAATAATGTTAGTGCGATGCCACAATTTCTTCGCTTACCGAAGTAAGCTAATACTAGAAGACCTCAATCACAATTAATGTCATTAATTTAAAATATAATATATTTATAAAAGCGCTTAATGTACAGTATATATGTAAAATACAATAGTATTGCTATAAAAATACGTAAAAATAAAATACATCAGAAATTATTCACTTTATAATTCAAAAATCTTCATTCTTCAACGGTAAATTTATTTCTATCTAAAATGATACTTTCATAATTATTTTGATAAATTGTACCAGCATTGTTCTTGATAACCAGATTTCTATTTCAAACTTCAATGGTTCATATTTAGAATTACATGAATAGTTATGACTAGGGTTTATAATATGGCAAAATAAATCATTCATATCTTTTTATATATTACCTATCAATTATTTTTGTGTCTCAATTTAATTGCCTTTTGAATTGACTCGAATTTTTCCTTGAAGATACATGTGATATTAATGTAATTATAAATACTCAAAATACAAGAGAATTTGAGAGACCGCCTCCATATTTAATATACACAGTATGGTTGGTTAATTTTAGGGATGCTAAGGATCACGGTTATACCGTGACTTGACCGATTTGAGATTACAACCATTTTTTAATTAGTAAAAATTAATTTATATAAAGAAGTTTTAACATATTCCATGTAGAATTGTTAAAGCAAATAACTAAATTTATAATATTTGGATTAATAAAAAACTTTTCTAATAAGCCAAAAATGTTAAATTTAAATCATGTGATCATTTAAACCAAGTGAATAAATTTTGAACGGATCTGCATCATCAAGTGTACTTACTGTATTACGAAATCATCCAAATATAAATTTAGTTCGAATTATATTCTTTCCTACAACGCTGTGGCTTTGAGTTTACAAAATTAATTAAAAGGCTATCTGGTATATTATTCCTACTCCTCCCCCAAAATCTCTCTAATTTACTAAGATTTTTTTGGCCTATGCAACTCCACATTCCTTTTAATTGCCAAAAGGTTTTCAATGGGATTCTGATCTAGACTATTAGATGCCTATCCATATCAAGAATTCCATTGTCCCGTTGCAGTCGCGTAACATACGGTGCATTTCCGGGAGTTGCTTTTCAATATTTCTGTGTAAAACTTTCCATCCATTATACGTCTAAAACAGGCTATTCTTGCCTTTTACACAAAAACCGCCCATACGAATATTTTTGGCAATTATCGTCCCTTACGTTTTCGGGACCGTTCAACACGTTTCTGTTTATGGACTGATGTGAGCATTGATGTACAAAGGGGAAGTGCATTTCGATATTCAAGGTTACTCGAACGAATGTCTCGCTACTCCCAATATCCTTCGATTTAGTAGCAACATAAGTTGCAGAAATTGAAGGTTTCCTTCAAATATATTGTCCAATTATGCGAGATGCATTTGGGGTTATCTTCTTAATACGACCACTACCCACCTTTATTCTTGACGTTAGGTTTCTTGCTTTGATGGGTTCATTTTAATGCTCAATAATATACAGTTTATTATAATATAGGAGAAATTTCGCTTAGAAGTGATATTTATTTTTGCATGTACGACCAAAATTGGTTACACCCGCCAATTTTCGCCATTTTTTTTTGTGATCATCCATAGGAATGAGATGAGATAAACATGTACCACAAGTACATCATGCATATTTATAAAAAATCTCTGTGTAATTCTGACGTTTATAAAAATACGTTAAATTGAGACGTATTCAATCAGATGGAAACTGTAATTTCTCAAGAAATTGATCCCAATTATGATTGTACTTTCAAAAACTGAATCAATCGTTATTTCACCAAATATGAAACATGTCGTTACTCAACATGCCGATGATTCATTGGCTATATGGGACGTTGATATTGATGCTAAAACAATCAAATTTGTCAATTTCGACGTGAACAAAATATTTAGTAGGGGACTTAGGTACAAGATACTAGAATTATCAAACGATAAATTATTGATTTTTGGAGGTGGATATCATAAAGTTATCGGAACTATTGAACCGCATGAAGAAATAGAAATTCATGAAAACTGGCACGCCTTTGATGCAAGTTTTCTTCCAAATGGAGACCTTTTAACAATATATCATCGGGATATATACGTAAATTCAAAGGAAACTTTGAAAAAATCAAAAAACACGTGCTCATATAAATTAACGTGTGATGTCAAGATGATCAAAGCTAATCGTAATGTTGAAAATAATGAAATAATTTTTTTGATAAGCAGTCGTAGTAAATCTCTGCTACAATTAAACACTAAAAAAATGAAAATTGAAAATTACTATGACATTCCTAACGTTAATCACTATATGGAAAATGTTGAGGGGGCGGTAAATGTTGAGGGAAGTTTGTTTGCAATATGTTACGACGACGCTATAACCGTATTTTCAATGAAGAATGGAATTTCAATTGCATCAAGTGAGCAAATTATTAGCTACTAAGTTTATTATCTTTTTTACTAATGGTTACTAACCAGATATTCTATAGGAAAATTCAAGTATGGTAACCAGCATCCGAATATGCAATTTATAAACATCAAGAATACTGAAATTTTGATGTTACATCAATATAATAATCAGGAGCGCAAAATTGAATACACGATTATGTCGCCTTATGATCTTTCATACGTATATGAAGGTGAATATGATCTTAAGGAATTCTCTTGTGATGTTGCGTACAAACTTAAGGATAATTACATGGTTATAGAAACTTTGACACAATGTCTAATCATGTTTCCTACCGAGAATCAAATAAAATTAATCGACTTTAACATTCCTGTGAATAAGTTATATGATCAGATGATGCATAATCACGACCTATTTCTTTATTCTAGTTTCAATGACTTCAAAGATGTTAAAATAGATAAGATCGATAAAAGCCTCAGTTGTGAAGGGAAATACTTGAGATGGGAATATGAGAATAGAAAGTTGAAAGTTTATAAATTAGGTCAAATGCAAGTTCAGCAAGAAATTGTATTCAACAGTGGAAACATTCAACATCTTCAAATTTTAAGTAATGATGATGTAATATTATATGAATTTTATTATAATCAACATTACATTAATGTTTTTAGCTTTAATGAAACAACCAAAAAGATTTTTCATAGATATTGTTATAAAATTGATGAATTACACGAGAAAAAAAGCCTTCCAAACCCAAGCTTAGTAAAAATTTTCGAAATTAAGAAAGATAATATTTCATTACAGGTAACATTTCTAGATTTTAGAAAGTATTTTGTAGAAATGATTGATGAAATCATCAATATGGCTATTAATAAAAGGATGTATGCAAATTATGAAAAGACATGTGAAGAGTTTTTAGATTTGTTGCTTAACAAGTTATTTGAAAATGTAGAGAGGAATTATAGAATCTATGATATTTTCACAAAATATCTGCCAGTTTTAAATTCATATGTTCCTAATGTTTATTCAAAGTTCATTTCGCTTACCTCACTTATTCCAAATACAATTATCAATATACCTGATTCAACCGAACAAATGAAATTGGTCGGTTATACTTGTGAAGGTAAAGTATATAGCCGTAGAGAAGATGATGTCATGCAACGAATTTTTAAAATCAATCGATTCTTTCGAAAGTTTATACATTATGAATATTATAGTCTAAAAAGAAAAACTTTTATTAAATTTGTCGTACCTTACACGGGTTTTACAAAGTATCCACCTGATTACGATTACTGGAAGGAATTATATAGACCAGAAAAAAGCCCATTCGTTATATTAGTTAACGAAACATTTTGCGATAGTTGGAATGCTGAGGCAATAATTAATTTCAAATGGGACAAATTTGGAAGATTATATTATTATCTCTTTTGGGTATATTTTACCATGTATTTGCTCAATTTCGGAATAGGTTCAACATTGTCTCCATCTATTATGAACAATGATACGAGAAAGGCTTTTTTAATTGTCAGCATAGTTCTTGGTTTATCACTTATTGTTCACGAAATTAGACAATTTTTATGGGATCCTAAAAAGTATATCAAAGATGTATGGAATTGGTTTGGTATGTATAAAGTTTTAATGTTGATATAATTTTAAAGACCATTATATTGTATATTTATGTTTTATTATTTTTATTATTTTTAGACCTTTCTGCAATAATTTTCCCCGTAATTACTGCCTTTTTTTGGTTATTTTATGTAAAACCTTCGTCATCACTGATTTCTATTTCAAATTTATTCTTATACTTTAAATTTCTAACATTCTTGCGGGCCCTTGATTACTTTGGCTCTAACTTTACAATTATTGTTGGTGTGGCTAAGAGAATATTTTCCTTCTTATTGATATTATTTATTATCATAATTGGCTTTGCACATGCTTTCTATATTATTTTGACTCCAGATCAAATTTATAATTTGGACGAACCTTTACAAAATGCCGATCCGAATAATCCCTGGAATCTCGTTACGAAATATCAATCAGTTTCTCCAAATGACAAGATCAATTCCGAAACAACTTTAATTCAACAGCCTGATTCTAAATTGAATCAGTTTTCCACTTATCAAACTTCACTCTTGGCCATGTATTTGTTTTTAACGGGAGATTCATCAGCACTTAGCTCATGGACTTATCAGGAAAATCCGTTCATGACGATTCTATTAGTCATGTTTTCATTCTTGATTGTAGTTTATCTCATGAATTTATTTATTGGTTTGCTTAACTTAGAAATTGAAAATAATAGAACACATTTCCTGTTTATGCTTGAAAAAGCAAAAATTTTGGTTGAGATTGAGCTTTTTTTCCTACTTCCAAATCAACGAAGGTGGGAGCATTGGTTTCCGGATGTCTTGTAAGTTATTAATAATTGATTGCACGTACATACATAATTATTACGAGCTTACCTTTATATTTGATATAGATACTATGATGTGCCGATTGAAGACGTACAACAAAAGATTAAAGATATAGATAACAATCCAGCATTGTATAATTCACCATATATTTCTGACGAATTAAGAAAGAAGGCCAATTTGTATGTTCCTAAACAAGAAGATCTAATGTCAAAAACTGATTACAAAGACTTAGTAATTAGATTAGATGAAATTAAGACATTTTTAAATCTAGATAAAAATGTTGTTGAAGATGGTGTTAAACATAAGTCAGAAAAAAGTGATGTTATAGTAGAAATTAAATAATTTTATTTAAGCCAACTGATTTCTCTTGTTTGGAATTGGAACCAATTCATTGTAATGATATTATTATTGTAATAATGTTTGTCTCACTAGTTCTCGGCGTTTAGAATATAATAAAAATGTTTATTTACTTACTAATTATATGAATATGGTTACATTTTTGATTGTTTGGAAGAGTTCCTATATGCTATATGTGTAAGAATTTAAATAGTTTGGCTGATTTTATATTGTATCTAAATGAAGAAAGTCATTACAAAGTATAAGTAAAAGTAATTAAAAAAAATATTGTTAAAAATCTCGTCCTTTTATATATCATATGTTTTAAAATGTGGTTCACTCTCGTCCACGTTTGGTATCGAATTCACTACGCAAAGTTAATAATTCCGCCTACAGAACGATATTTTGCTCAGTAAATAATCGGTGCTAATTTAAGTTAGAATTTTGAACTTAATTTCGATCAGGTTGTATATACGATGGGTAAAGATAACTTTTTTTTTTTTAAAAAAAAAAAATAAAATAGTATGCTTGCTGAAATATTATACCCTTCAACGTTAATAACAAAAATTTAGATGGAGTACTACTTATTACAAAATAATAACGCAATGAAAATATTCGTCGGTTTTGCGTATAGAAAAGAATGCCGTCTTAATACTGTTGTAAGATTCACGATCATACTTAAGGAAGTTGCGAATACCGAGGAATTTAGACAAAAAAAATTCACATGATCAGGTAAAAAATGGTCCTTTACAAATAAAAATTAATTCAAACACTTTCGCTAGATTGCATCCTCATCACCATTACTTATTCCAAGACACTACAAACAAAACTTTACCGGAATTTAGATAAATGATACTTACCAGCAATCTTGTACGAATGATGACGATCAGAACCACTATATAAAAGTTAAAGATTTGGACGTAACGTAGTACTATCAGAGACAAGTTTCTTTAGTTGTCCAGAGACTGTAACGGTCTAGTTTTTCCAAAAGCGAGAGGCCTTATCTTTTTGAAGTTGATTTGGAATAGTATGGACCGATGAAAGCATATCCAATAAAATGAGCAAAAAAAAACTAAAATTGTTTCATGAGTTTGATTTAATTTCGTAAGCGTAAATTTTTTTTTGATCAAGATATTAAGATATTTGATTTGACTAATGATAAGAGAGGATTTAAACGTTCCATTTTATATGTGAAAGGATTTTGAAAGCCAAGAATGTTTAATTTCATTTTGATCTAAGAAACCCTCGAGTCGTTTGCTTTGAATATCTTTTTAATTAAGTAAGAAGCAATGACAATACCTGCAAGTATGATAACAACAGGATCACATTATTTCTTCGTTTAGGCATACATATTAATTTTGATATTTGTATGCTACGTCGACAGAATTCATTTTGAAACAAAATTTCATTAATTTAAACACGATTACAATTAACGCAAAAGGTTTTTAAAAAATTAATAAAACTTTTTTTTTTTGAATTATGCTTATTTACATCGTAATTCCTTTTCAAATAATAAATTGTCTTCAATTTCCATGCAAAGAAAAGAAAAACAAAAAAATTATGGATATTGGAAGAAGACAATCAGATTATCGAATTTCGTATACAATGAAAATTTTCATATCAAACTTCCAAAGATTAGTTCAATTAATAAAGTTCAAAAATGAAGAAGAAATAGACAGAAAAGGACTAAGTAAGGACGTTCATCTCATGCATGAAAGTTATGGAAATTTCCAATCATATATTTTCGTCAAACAACCTTCCAGATTTTTAAATGTGAATTATGTAACAAATACAATATTTCGGTATTATTCGTTGGATATTCTAAGATCAGTGCTGGATTTGTAAAGATATGGGAGGTAAGCTATTAAAATCACGTTACGGATCATATGATTTACTATGTTCGTAACTCGATTTTAATAGCAAACCTCCCATATGATGATGTATTTTATTGAACTTATAATTTTTCTCGGCTGGCTAAAAGATATTCTTAACACTTTTATTTATTTTTGTATACGTAAAAAATAAGTGTTTGGAAAACATTAATGCATGCTTTTAGCATAAGTGAAAAATAGAGCTTTCCTTGAACGGATAATATCCTAGGATAAATTCTGATTATCCTATTATCCACATTATATCCAAATAATTAACCGGATCTACAAATCTACAAATGGATAAATCCTAGGATTATTAGGTTTATTCTAGAATAAATATAATGATCAGCATAAAATATTCTTTTTTCGTATAAATGGCATTTATAAATTTTATTTCTAAATATGTCAACTGAAAAAACTTCAAAGAAAAGTTTATTGTCTGAAGATAATGATAATATTAATTATGTTGATATAACCGATAATAATATTTCAGAAAAGAAAACAAATATATTTGAAAAACTAGAAGAAAAACTGATTTATTAAATATTCAAGTTAAAAGTAAGGAAGCTCAAATCTTTATAGTTAAATATATAATTGGATGAAAGAAAAAGCAATCCAACAGATTCAAAAAAATTTACATTTGAATGTAATCAACCATTAGATAATGATGAAATTTATATAGTAAAAAATAGAGACATCAGGTTCAACTGGTAATATTATTAGCCAATTTGAATGAAAACATAAAATTTATGAATATTTTATATCTTTAAAGACTACATCATCTTTAAAATAAATTAAAATTGATCATTATACTATTTCATTAGATTCACTTTTATAAATGATATAAGATTAACAAAAGATTTGAAAACTTTTCTTTTGAATGGCTTATTCTAGATTTTCAATTATTTTATCTTTTAAAATCTTCTTCTTTTTCTAAATTTATCATAAAAACTTTAAACTTACAACTGATAAAGAATTTTTAAAAAGAATTTTTGAAGCATATGAATTTATAAAAAAGTATCTAAAGTAATACATTTATGAGAATGCAAATTCAGTTTACTAATCTATGATCTTTGAATTTTTTTTTATATTAAATAAGAGTTTCTTGATATTACATGTTATTTTATTATATCAGATTTTAAGATAAAAAAAATAACTTTAACTATTCAATATATATTATATTCTCATACAGTAAATGCTATTCAAATTGCATTAAAAAAGATTATTTTTGATTGAAAATTACAAGATAAAGTTTTCTTTGTATAATAAATAATACTTTTAATAAAAAATGTTTAACCAAATTACTTTTTTAAAATATTATTATTTATTGTATATATAATTTAACTGGTTATTAGAAAAGGATTATTTATTACTAAAGTTTAATTGCATATAGAAAAAATTAATCAAGTTTTTTACTATATTTAAATAAAATAAATATTTTTTAGATGCATAAAAAAAATTCTGAAGAAATTCAAAAGAAGAAAGTAATCTAAAAATAGTTTTTTATAGGATAATTACAGATATTTAAATATATTGATCAAATGCATTTATAGTATAGAAAAAATTAATAATTCTAAAATTTATATTAAAATTGTTATTTCTTTATTAAATATAAAAAATGATTGTGATTTCAAAGAAGATATAAAAAAGCTAAAGAAAATTACAATAATAAGTTATATATCCAAATATTACTAAACTCAAAAAACTCTTTTATTTAACTAAAGAATTTTATAATTATAATGTAAATTTAAAAACAAATAATGATGCATTTGAAGAATATTAATTTGAAAAAATTGACAAAGATGATAAATCTGAAGCTAGATGAGAATTTCAAATAATACATCCATAAATATCTTTTTTTTTAAATAAAATTAAAGCAGATCTTTACAAAATACTTGAATATTATTATGATGTAATTGAAAAGAAAACTTTAATCACAGCTTTATTAAATCTGCAAAATTTGCAACTGATAATCAAAAAAAATTAGCATAAAACTAACTTTTATAATATATATAGTTAATAAAAAATAATAATTTTCAATAAGAATCACATAGTCTAAAACTAAAAAAAAAAAAGTATCAAAAGTATAAGTTTATAAAAGATCTTTATTTTCTAATAATAAAACCAGTGACTCATTTTTCTGAATAATTTAACAATATAATTAAACTGCTAACTCATATTTCAAAGATTTTTTATTGTATATAGAATTTTACTTATCATCTAAGCTTAATGAAAGGTATTTTATATTTTAACTGCAAATTTATTACTCAGATATTCACTGTATATTTATTACTTTAATTTTACAATTTATTTTTACTACAAGTTTTTCTTACAACTTTCTTTTCTAAAGAAAATATTATATAGTCAATAAACTTTACAGAAACCTTTAATTTTCATAAATATAATAAATATATCATTAATAGATAGTAATTATATATTTAATGTATAGTTAAAATACTTTAACATGAATGATATAATTATAAAATGATTGAAATATATAATATATATTTATAATACATTTTAAAATTTATATTTAAATTTATATTAATATAACTTAACAAAATAAAAGATTATAATATACATAAATTAAATAATTAATAAAATATTTTTTAAAATATATTTGCAATCTTTTAAATATATTATTGTAATATTATAGAAATATTAACATATCTTAATATTATATTAGAGAAAGCAATTAGAATTTATCTAATTTAATTAATATATATTATTTTATATTAACTATTATTTAAAATTCTAAGATTAAAATTTAAAATCTGTAAAGAAAAATAAACTTTAATAAAACTTTTATTTTTTAGACTAAATTTTACATCTAATTTTTTAATATATATTTGAACAGGATTAAGAAATTTATTGTATAATAATAAATACTATTTAATATATTTTACTTTAAATAGAGTTCTGAATAAATCAAGTTAATTATGAGTTAGATAAACTGAGTCAAGTTTCAATCAAGTCAAATTTATGTTTTTTGACTCAATGATTTGCAAGTCATACCAAATTTAAATCAAATTAAATATTTAATTTGACTCAATTTAAACTCAAGTTAATTCGAGTTATATTATTTTTATTTTTTTTTAATTTTTTAATTTATCTGATCTTTTTGTTTTTTAATTAATTTTTTTTATTTTTTAATTTTTTTTGATTTTGTTTTTTAAATTTTTTTTTATTTTTTCAATTTTTTTTATATTGTTTTTTAATTTTAATTTTTAATTTTTATTATTTTTTTAATTTTTTTTTAATAGTTTTTTAATTTTAAATTTTTATTTTTTTCAATTCTTAATTTTTAATTTTTTTCCCTTCTTCTTTTTTTCTTCTCTTTCAATCTTTTCATTTTTTAATTTATTTTTCTCTTCTCTTTTCCCTTCTGATCTTTTTATTTTTTGTTTTTTTTTTTAATTTTTAATTTTATATTTTTTTTTCATTTTTTAATTAATTTTTTTTGATTCTCAATGTTAATTTTATTTATTTATTTTTTTCTTTTCTTTTTCTTAATCTTTTTCATTTTTATTATTTTATTTTTTTAATTTTTTTATTTATTTTTTCATTAATTTAGAAGTAACCCTTAATTAAATATACTTTAAGAATATTTTTGAGAATTTTTTGAAGATTTATTTAATTTACTTTCTATTTTTAAAAGTAAATCTTTCATTTTCATAAGTATAAATTTTTTTATATTTAAATATTTATAAATTAAGTTAATATTCACTGGTTAAATGATGAGGTATCAGAGTATGGCATATTATGAATTATCAGAAACCTGATATGATATTAAAAGATTACTTTTAAAAAATAATACATATATCAATATCCGATAATTTATTAGTTTCTTTTAAAGTGTGTTAATAAAAATTATTTAACTTATCAATCATCCTGATAATTCATTGATCATTTATTGATTATAATATAATATTATAAATAGCCGATTAATAAAATATAAGATAATCTAATATCTGCATGAATGCATTTATATGAAAATGTTTATTAAGTTTCAAATTTTATATATAAATTTTTCTATTTATAGGAATTATAGATAAATATTTTTTTGGATTTTTTTACTGATCATTATTGTTCCAGCAACAAAACGGCTCAAAATATTGTGTATAGAAATGATACAATCTCTTCCTATTTTATAAAATTTAGATTTCCATAATTCGATATTGCTAGATTTATTATCATCATTTATACTACAGTGAAACCTTGTCCTAGAATGGTCAGCATGCGAATACCACCTTACAAAAGCTAAACTATATATTATGAAACCTTCCGGTAGATGAATAGTATGCTCAAAAAAAATTGTATTTGACCCGAATAGGTATCAGTCATATTATCATCTAAAACAAATTTAGATAATACATTCACTGATCCGATATGTCTTTTTGCGTACGTTGATCCATATACTTCCGCTCTAAGTCTTAATCTACCAAATTGATTAATTTGTGGGAAAACTGCTATTGTTCCTGGTAACAAATTATGGATATCCGATAAGGACACAAAAGAATTACTATAGGCATTATTGTAATATTCTACCAATAATGCTAATATTTCTGATGACAATTTCACACTCTTTATTAGTTTAAGAAGTACACCCAGAAAAGGCTCCGACCCTGTTCCTGTTTTCTTCTTTACATTTTTTGACATTGTTAAAAATTCTGAATATTTCATCAAATCAAAATCTTCATTAGCTGTGAGGCTACCGACTGTTTCCTTAAGAGCAATATAAGGCAAACATTCTAAAAGGTGTTGATTTTCATTGACAAATAATGATAACTTGTCAAGACGTGAATGATTTTGAGTAATTCTGGCTCAATATGTCAGTTACTATTATGAAAAGAGCCTGTAAAAAAAATATAATTAAATATCAAAAAATTATAAAAATATCGAAACATTTTAATTGGAAATTTATTATCTAATAAACCATTCATTCGTTCGAAACTATAGTACCAGAATGAGTATAACGGCCTATAATCGAGCGCATATTCACAAATATGTAAACATGAATGTAAATTCAGTGTTATTTTTTTTAGACTATAACTCTTTTCAACAATCTTTACTATCGATAAAAGACAGTTATGTGCCTCATTTAATGCCAATTTAGAAATAATTCGGCATACAAGGATATTGCATGCTTTTACAAAATAACTCAATATTTCCCTGTCATCTTTTTGAAGAAAATTCCAAGTAATCGTAGTAGCATATATAAGGATGAAAGTTCTCCATTGGTCTGCGATAAACCCTGAAAAGCCTTCATCCATTGCTATTTTATTCAGTATCCTTCCAATATCCGATGGTAATTTTAACTTGTTGGCCCGTTCTTGCATTGTTTCTAGATTTTTTGACGTTAATCAACCCTCTTCAATCCACAAATGAGTTACAATCCATTTAGCAATACCCAGAAACAAACAGTGCATAGGATCGACTACAAGGAATTGCATTAGGTCAAAATACGAGAGCCGATATACTTCCGACTAATGTACTAAAGTTTGAGAAACATGCTTTTTTAGTGCATCTTTAGTATTGCAATCCTTTCATAAAAGGCATTGTTTTTTATTTCTTCAATATCTCTCAGCACAAATCATTGATCTATATCGTCAAAGCTACCAAAGTTTGGTTGATTTCTAATATCAAAATCGGCCACATTTTTACACTGATGACATGTAACACAAGCCAATATATGCCTGCAAAGCTTTCTGGCAGCTGGTATATCACATGCGCAACATATAATCGCTGCTCATATAAATTTTCCAGTAGGGTTTTCATATGTGCAAAGTTCTATTCCTTCTCATAACTTAATGAATTGATCAATCACAAGAGCCAAATAATGGTTTAATTGATGCAATTTCAGTTCATTTAGGCTGGGAATTATTGCTAAAGTAATAATATTACTTGGTTTAAACCTTTGGCTTCGTGGTAGATTACATATTACTCCATACATCACTTCTACACTGTATTGGAAATTGTCATACAGTTGGATTCAATCAAGGTTCAATATAATTCCTAGATGATTATCCACTACTTCATGCCGGAAAAACAATTGATTATTATTTGAATCTTTAAAAGTTTTCCAAATTCTTCCATCGTATATATCTGATAACTCCTGGCAAATATCGGTCTAGTTGTTCACATTCTACAGGATTTTTCAAATTCTTTTGATTTGTATAATTGATGTAACTGATTTTTTATATTAGCAATAAGAAAAATGAGTAAAGGCCGGTATATTATTGTTTTTTATGTAAGAACTTATTTTGTAATAATATTATTACATGGGGATCTTAACTTGGTCATCGGATGATTCAGAAAGTCCTTGAATGTACAATAGTATGGTTTATCAGTTGTCAAATCTTTTACCGCGTATATTTTACAGCATTTTTTACAAGTTGCGTACTTGATCATGTGATCGCTGATACCAAATAATTTCCGTGCCATATGTAAAGATTTTGGAAATTCTGAATAGATATTTCTATCAACCAAGAGCAATAGATATCTCATAAACTTTATAAGAGAATTAGTAGCAGTATCAGATAACCGATATCTCTCTTGATATTTAAAAATCCAATACACAATCTATGCGAATTCCTGATCGATGTTAATAAATGGTATTTCTGCACCTTTATCTTCATAACCAGATTCTGGCGCATCAAAATTGACTGGTTCGACATTATTTTCATCATCATTACTATATTCTTCTTCTTCACTACCCTCATCAATATTATATTCGTCAATATCAGATTTGTTAACATCATGATCATCATCAAGAAGCTGTTTGATTACGGCCGTTAGGAAACTAATATAACTAACTAATTGTTTTTGCTTTCCTTTAAATGATTTTGAGCTCATAATAAAAAAATTAAATTCTTGGTCACTGGCAGGATCATTAGATGATTTTGGGTCCATAACAAGAAAATTAAATTCTTGGCTGACAAGATCATCATTTACAATATCTACGTCTGTGTTCATATGATCGCTAAAATATCTTCTGTTATTCCAGAAGGTGATGCTATCCTGGAAGATTCAACAAATCCTCTTGATCCAAATTCCTTTTCTTTCGTATATAATTTTTTTGTACGTGGATCAACTTTACGATCTTTATATATATTACAATGGCATGGCACATGTTTTCTTGTATTACTTATACTTCCTATTTTAGTATATTTACGATGTTTCAAAAAACCTTCTTGATATGCGGATGCGGTCTTATTTGCTTTTACAAAGATTTTTTTTTGATTTACGCGTTATAATAAAGATATCGTGTTGAAAAAGAAAGATTTAATAAGAAATTTTTTAAAAAAATCCAGATACATTATATATTAAAGTATAAAATCAATGTAATAAAGTTTAACGTTAAAGTATAATGATATGTATTGTTCGAAAAATCCCTCATAAAACCTTAAAATCAATATAATCAAGTTTAACGTTTAGTGATTATTCGAAATAGCTGCATCCCTGATTGTCGATCACCTGAATCTGGTTTAACTGCTAACATCTTATGGAATTCCACATGTGGCTAATTATTTTACAGCTAACTACTCGATATTACATAATTTAAGCAATAGTAATTATTAACCGATACAATAAATGATATAATAATAATTATTAACGATATTATATAAGTATAGAAAGTATATATAAAGGATCTATATAGGCCTATAAAATTTAAATTTCTCTCCATACATTTATTGTTACTTTTCACGATAGACTTATTTATAACTTTGAAAATTTATTTTACATGCAATTTTGAAGAAGAAACGATGGCAATTATAAAGCAAAAAAAAAATATTAACAACTTAATTATAACTGATATTTAAAATGTTGGACCCAGTCCAACTTAAATATATGATACTTAAAATACTGACCATTAAAGATAAAATCAATCAATGTCATTAATCATGACTAATTTTAATATTGAGCACAGTAATTATTTCAATTTAGCGCAGAAATATTAGATCATGATTAAGCTTACAAATTAAAGAAAGGTAAAAGATCGCGTAAGACTGATTTTTTTTTGATATAAAAGAATAACTTTTCCCTGATTGATTTTAATTCTAATTATTTTATTTTCTTTCATTTCTAGATTTTAATTCTAATTCAATTATTCTTTTTTATCAATATTTTCCTTTTCAATACTATGCGTGATCGAAAACCCTTTAGGATCGCTTCAACTTTTAGAAGACGTTCAAGGTCTCATGAGCATAATGATCATTTAAGTTATCGTGAAAGCAATAAAAGAAGTACTAGGTGAAGCACATCCAAAAGAAAGGTTGAAAGAACTACTAGTGGAAGTCGAAGTCCCAGAAATGACATATGTGAAAGAAGTCCAAGTATCTGGAATAAAAGTTACGAACTTTATAGCAGAAGTTTTAGAGACGTAACCGTAAACAATAGAGAAAGAAGCAATAGGAACAAAAGAAGCTCAAGTAAAAGTTTGAGTAATAGTATTGACATAACTTCAGCAACAAAAACTCTCAAAAGAAGCAACAGAAATGTAAGAAGTATCGAAAGAAGTTCAAGTAAAAGTTCAAGTGATAGTATTGACATAACTCTGGCAACAAAAACTCCTGAAAGAAGCAACAGAAATGTAAGAAGTATCAAAAGAAGTTCAGGTAAAAGTTTGAGTGATAGTATTGACATAACTCTGGCAACAAAAACTCCTGAAAGAAGCAACAGAAATGTAAGAAGTATCGAAAGAAGTTTAGGTAAGAATCTGAATGAGAGTATTGACATAACTATGATAGCAAAAACTCTCGAAAGAGATAACAGAAATATAAGAAGTATCGAAAGAAGTTCAAGTAAAGGTTCGAGTGATAGTATTGACATAACTCTGGCAACAAAAACTCCTGAAAGAAGCAACAGAAATGTAAAAAGTATCGAAAGAAGTTCAAGTAAAAGTTCGAGTGATAGTATTGACATAACTCCAGCAATAAAAACTTCTGAAAGAAGCAACAGAAATGTAAGAAGTATCGAAAGAAGTTCAAGTAAAAGTTCGAGTGATAGTATTGACATAACTCCGTCAATAAAAACTCCTGAAAGAAGCAACAGAAATGTAAGAAGTATCGAAAGAAGTTCAGATAAAAGTTCGAGTGATAGTATTGATATAACTCTGGCAATAAAAACTCCTGAAAGAAGTAACAGAAATGTAAGAAGTATCGAAAGAAGTTCAGGTAAGAATCTGAATGAGAGTATTGACATAACTATGACAGCAAAAACTCTTTAAAGAGATAACAAAAATGTAAGAAGTATTGAAAGAAGTTCAAGTAAAAGTTCGAGTGATAGTATTGACATAACTCCGGCAGCAAAAACTCCCGAAAGAAGCAACAGAAATGCAAGAAGTATTGAAAGAAGTTCAAGTAAAAGTTCAAGTGATAGTATTGACATAACTCCGGTAACAAAAACTTTTGAAAGAGATAACAGTAACGTAAGAAGTATCGAAAAAAGTTCAGGTAAAAGTTTGAGTGATAGTATTGACATAATTCCGGTATTAAAAACTCCCAAAAGAAGTAACAGAAATGTAAGAAGTATCGAAAGAAGTTCAGGTAAGAATCCGAATGAGAGTATTGACATAACTATGACAGCAAAAACTCTCAAAAGAGATAACAGAAACGTAAGAAGTATCGAAAGAAGTTCAAGTAAAAGTTCGAGTGATAGTATTGACATAACTCCAGCAACAAAAACTCTTGAAAGAGATAACAGTAACGTAAGAAGTATCGAAAGAAGTCTCAATAAGAGTACTAGACAAGATTTAGAAAGAAATAGTAATCAATTAATCGAATATATTAAACAATAAAATCAAATTCTATTTTTATTAATTAATTATTTTACAATAGTGATTAGTTCAATCCAATCAACATTAAATTACTTGATTGAAGAAGTCCAAGATCTAAAAAGGCAATGATCAGAAGTTCGAGAATATTCTCTAGAATCACGTAGAGAATACTCTCTGAAATTATATGAAGAATACTCTTTAGAACCACATGGAAGATATCTAAAATCACGTAAAGTGCTTGAGGATATGACTGATGAATAATATAAGTCTTTTAGGGTATATGATAAGTAATTTTGATCTGGATTTAAATAAGCTAGAACTAATAATTTTTTACCATTAATAATTTTATAAATTTAGGATGAAGTTGTCCAAATCCTCTTTGGTCTTGACGACTCATTGTTACTCGACCATACGAAGCTATGGAATGAAATTTCATGTCATGTCTATAAGGACATAATGCTAGCTATCGATAGGATAATAAACTAAAGAATCAGATATAATCAGGTTGAACTTAAATATGTCTTACGATAATTATATCGACACAGAAGAGAATCCTAGCAGATTTCTTAAAGTTTCGATAGGTTGAAATTTGATAAAAATGAAAAGGCACAAATTCAAGACATTCCGATGTAAGTATCAATGGATATATCAGATTATTGATAGATCTTATTACTGCTTTAATTATTTTAATTTCTTTAAGAAAAAAGAAAGACGAAAGCGCGGAATCAAGCATATATATAACATTAACGATCTGATTCTATCGGAAGTACAGTACACGAAAATCAGTATAAAAAAAATATTGAGAAAATAGTTGATGAAGGGCTGTTTCATTCAGATGAAATATCCGAAACAAATGACGAAAAGGCACAGGAGGAGATCACCCAACATATTCGTCCAATAAATAAAAATGGATCGGATATACATGTGATCCATGTGTACAATAAGCCGTGGAGATTTCAAAAGGTATATAACATATATTTTGGATATTTATTTATTTTTATTTATAGCACTTTGTTTGTTGTATTATAGGTTAAAAAACTTCTTCGATATGCAGATAAAGTTAGTGAAAATATACAACATATAAAAGTTCAAAGAAAACAATAGTATGACGATAATGCATTTAAAGATGATACAAGACCACCACCTGAAGTTCCCAGATAGACGATATTATCTTTAGTTGGGAGAGAGGAGCAAGGGAAAGGAAGTGGCAGCCGAAAGTCATAAATGATTAGATAGAATTTTAATTAGTGTATAATAAATAAATATATTTAATATGCGAAATAAATATGTACGATATGTAACATATAATGTGAATAAATTTAATATTACAATAAAATATTACAATAATATATAAAATATATTATAAATTCAGTAACGAATATTGTGTAAAATATTTAAACATCAATTTATTAATCATAAATATATTATTGAGGCATTGGAGTACTATAATATTACAGAATTACGACATCTTACCTAAAATTCCTTTATCAATGCATGATGTTTAATTAATGATCATTTAATAATAATCAAGGTATTATTGGGGTATCAGAACTCCGATAAAAGTATAATATTAGTATAATATTTAATAACCCGATATGTTAATTTTATGTAGCTTTTTATTAACTATTTCTGCCATAATTAAGAGAATTATCGGAAATATAAAAAATCTGTCATTCAATAAGTTATCTGAATAAATGTAAGACATATCGGGGTATTTCTTGGTGGTTGATATCTGTATGATATCTTATTATTGAACCAGTGATTGACTTATAATTTAATTTGAATTTAATTTGACTTGAATAAATTTAAGTCAAAATTAAGTTAAGTAAAATCAAGTTAAGTCAAATTAAATCAAGTTTAAATTTATATAGCTTGAATCAAATCAAGTTAAAAGATTTTACAAAATAAATTTGATTCAATTTAACTTGATAAAAAAGAGTCAAATAGAGTTAATCTTTAAACTCGACTTGACTTGATTCATTTAAAACTTTAATTTTGAAGATATCCTTTATTTATGATAATAGCTTTTCTTCTATAAATACTAAAAGATCTTTACTTATTCATAAAAGATGAGCTTTTCATAAAAATTTAAAATTCTAACTAAAATTATAATTTAAAATTTAATAAATTTAAAAATTAAAAGAAAAAATTAAAAATAAAATAAAGGCTAATTATATACTTTAATATATTATATTAAGGCAAAATAAATTAATTAAATCAAAAATTAATATAATTTTTATGAAAATTTATTATTGATCAATTTTTTATTATCAATTAGTATAATACTAAATTTCTTTTTATTAAAAAATCCAAAGTTTTAAAATTTGATAACTTATTTTTTAAAAATATTTGGATAATATTAAAAGTATAAATAGATATATAATAATTTTAAGAATAATGATATAGTTCATTTTTTTTAAAATATTCAAAGAAACTATTTTTTAATAGTAAAATAGTTTTTAAAGTAGATCTTTATTATTTTTAAATTTTGAATTTTTTTTAAAAAAAAAAAAATATTATATAAAAAAAACTTATTGAAATATTTTCATAATATTTAAAAAGAAAATAAAAAGAAAATTCAAAGTTATAAAGATATAAAAATATATTAATAGTAAATTTTCTTAAGAAGTATATATAGTTTTAATTTAGTTAGTCTATCTGCCACCTTAATATTACATGTATTATATAAAAGATAAGTCGTAACTGCAACTGAAATTTATTTTAATTAAACTTTTAATTTAAGTTTTATTTTATTTTAATAGCAAGTTTTTTATCTTTTATAAAACTTAAAAATTTTTAATAAATTTTTTTATAATAAATATTTTTTAATATTACTTCTTTTTATCTTATAGGTTTTTAGAATTTTAATTAGATAAAAAGTTTGAAATGATATATTTCTTTATGAAACTTATAAATTAGAAATATTTTTTAACATTTCTTTTTATTTTACAAATTTTGTTTATTACTAGACATTGTTAACGTTACTCTTTCCATCGAATAAGTTAACTATGATTTGAAGTCAGGGAGACAATAGCTATGACTTAAATCCAATCAACTTGATACGCTATTTATTAGAGAGTTTGTTTAGTTAACAAGAATAAAATTATAAGTTTTTAAGTTTGTAAAATGTTAAGAGCATTTATTATTATTAAATGTATATTAAATAAAATGTTGAGGACTTGTTGAAATCTTTTCTTTTTCCAAGGCATTTTCATGCCCTTTATATAAGAAAATTATAATTAAAGAAATCTATAGTATTTATGATACTACTGACAATAATAACAGAGCTAACAGATATGCTAATTATGTTAAATATATAATAAATGATATAAATAATAGATATAATAAAGAAATAATAAATGATATTCATGTCCTATTTGGCAGATTTAGCAGATCTAATATATTTGGCATATATGTTATATTCAACAGGTCTGTCAGTTTCTGCCGGTTTCAACATTAAGAAATTTTAGAAATTTTAGAAATTTTACTATTATTTCTTTTTAATAAAAAACATTTTATAATATTTCTTTATTTTTTTGATTTTCAGTATTTTAATCAAAATAAGAATTTTGAAAATAATTTTTTATGAAACTTACTATATGCTTATTTTTTAATAAGAAATATTTATTTTTTGTAAGTTTCTAAATTTTGTTCAATACCAGATATTAAAAATAGTAAGTTTTATATAATAAAATATATAAAATAATATTTTTTTTGATTAATTTAATAGAACATATTTTAACTTTTTCTTATTTTCATAGCTAGTATATAATTAAATATATTAAAATATTATGAATCATATTTTTAACATATTTTTGATATCAAATTAAAATAAAGATAATATAAATAGTTATATCATATATTTTATATATATTAAAAATAATTTTAATATATTTTTCAAATTAATAGGTTTATGCAAAGAAAACATTATAGTTAAGAAATATTATCATATTATAATCATTTTATGATATTTAAAAATATTTCTTTTTTATATTAAAAAAATGCTTTTACTGGTCAAATAGTTCAAATTGGCTAAAAATCAAATAGTTGATTTTAGGCTAATTTTAATACTATTTATAGCTGATTTGCTATTTTTCTGATCAGCATAAACACATGCTGATATATGCTGATTGATTCCAATCAGATATAGCTATTCAACATCAATTTAAAACTTAAATTTAATCATAAATCAACCTTAAATTGACCTTAATTCAGCATTATTCAGCATTAATTCAGAATTTAAACGATCATAAATTAGCCTAAAATTAACTTCAATTTAGCATCAATTTAGTATCAATTTAGTTAAATAGTATATAATATTAATATATTAAATTTATTAAATTTATTAAATATTAAAATTTTATTAATAATAAAAATTTAATATAATTTGTAAAAACATAATGTATATATTACTAAAATCCACTGATTAATTTTCTATTTAAAATAATAAAAATATAATTCATTTTTCTTCTAAAATCCCCTTAAATAATCCTAAATATAAATTATTATAATATTAATATTTTCAAAAAAAAAAAATAAATTAATAAAATATGATCAAATAATAAATAAAATAATAAAAAATAAAAATCTACCCTTTCTTACTAAATAATTTGAAATTATCTTTTTTTTTATTATAAAAATAAAAAAATCAGCTTATTATTTGAAAAGTAGACTAGTTGATTAACTAAAATTTAACTTAAGTTTTATCCAATTTTGATAGTTGAAGTCATTTCTATTATAAAAAGTAAAAATATCAGTTTATTTTTTTGTTTATTTTTTGAAAAGTTAACTAAAATTCAACTTAAGTTTTATCAGATTTTAATATTTGAAGGTATATTTCTATTATAAAAAGTAAAAAAAATCAGTTTATTATTTGAGAGGTTGACTGGTTGATTGATAAAATTTAACTAAAATTTTTTTGTTTTTGAAATAATTTTTTTTTAGCGTTTTAGTAAAATGTAAAAAGAAAAATTTGAAAATGATTATAAAAAGATAAAAGTTTGAATTGAAATTATTTTTTAAAAAGTTAAAAAATTAAGCTTATTTATATAAATATTCTTATATCAGAAATAAACTTAAATAGTATATTAAATTAATATCAAAAAATCATATATTAGATATGATTTTAGCAAATCAGTTTAATCTGAAAGTTCAATTTATTAAAATGATAATACATCAATTCTAAATGAATGATAAATACATTATTTCTTAGAAACAATAAAACCATTATTTTTTAGGAATGATAAAACTATCATTTCTTA